TAAATAGATATCTGAAAACATAAACTATTTATAGGTTTTGAAAATGTGCTTCCAACAGTCACAACTTTTCAAAACACCCCTTGGAACAAACAGCCACTTTTCAACAGTCACTTGTCTTTTCATAATTTTTAAATTTCGAAATATACATTAAAATAAAATATATTCAATATATAATTATATATATAAAAAATAGAACATTTAAGCGGCAGCGGCAAGCGTACAAAGTGCTAAGTGCGTCTAATAATCGCGTCAAAATCGCGCATTATTCGCGCTACCCGCACGCGGGTTTAGAAGCCTACACTTTGATCCATTATTCAAAGCCCAATAAGCATTCAATGCTTTTAAACCTCTAAAAGAATGTTCAAAATTCTAATGTGGGACTATCTTATTTTTTACAAACAAATACTAACACAAACTTGAAGGCAATGAAAACAATGTGTGTGTATTATTTGAGCTCTAAGTATAAATACACAAAGTATAAACTAAAACTACAAAACTAATTACCCAAGCTATAGGTCTTCAATGTAGCCCATCTTGGTTGCGGATGAAGCTTGATCTTGTATTTGACTTTGAATTCATCATTGCTTCATTCCGGTATCTGTTAACCTCCTTTGAATGTCATCGTTAAGCTCAATCCAACCAACCTCCAACCTCGATGTTTGTCTAGAATACCTAATAAACAAATATAAACACAAGACAAACGATGTTAGGAATTGTTTGTAAATGCATCAAAATAAGATTATACCGTAGGCTTATAAATATGACACCTAACAACATCAACACATTACTGGTATATAAGGGACTAATATCAAAATATAAAGATTTGACGGACTAATATCAAAATAGCTACGATTTATGGGAGTAATATATAAAACCCCAAAAACTAAACATAAAATTCAATCCCCTTACGTAGGATTTTAAACAATAGCTAGATTACTAAACTAGCCCGCTAACATACGGAGCTAACACATAATGATAGAAACTAAATTAAACTAAAATTCTTTAATGCGCAGTTTGAGCTTGGAAAATAATTACTTCCACTCTAAAACTCTTTTGGAACAGAAAATTCATTAAAGGTGCAGAGTAGTTTTTGAGCGTTGCTTAGGGGCTGTTTGGTTGTATGTTTTTACCATGTAAAAGGATGTAAAGTGTAAAAAAGTGGGTCCCAATGTCAGCTTTCATCACTTTCAATTGTTTGTTTGTAGTTGTGAAAATAGTGTAAAGTGATTTCATATGCTGATGTGGCTTGTAAAGTGATTTCATGAAAAAAAGACATGATTTTAGGAGAAAGCTAACATTGAAGTTAGGAAAAAATAATAAAAAATAATTCCAACCAATATGATCATTTGAGTAGGGACCACTTTTTACACTTTCCAAACAAACAATTAGGGGCTGTTTGGTTGTATGTTTTTACCATGTAAAAGGATGTAAAATATAATAGGTATCCTTGTCATAGGAGGGGATTTCCTCCTTGACGCATATGTGGCACAATCCTCATCATCCTCATAAAGTAGGGGAGAGTGTGTGAGTTGGTGAGGATTTGTACCTAAAGCTAACATTAAAGTTAGGAAAAAATAATAAAAAATAATTCTAACCAATATGATCATTTGAGTAGGGACCACTTTTTACACTTTCCAAACAAATAATTAGGGGCTGTTTGGTTGTATGTTTTTACCATGTAAAAGGATGTAAAGTGTAAAAAAATGGGTCCCAATGTCAGTATATAATAGGTATCCTTGTCATAGGAGGGGATTTCCTCCTTGACGCATATGTGGCACAATCCTCATCATCCTCATAAAGTAGGGGAGAGTGTGTGAGTTGGTGAGGATTTGTACCTACTTTATGAGAATGGTGGGGATTGTGCCATATAGGTAGGGGTGGTAAATGATCGAATCGAATCGAATACTAAGGTGTTCATATTTGTATTTGTTTAAAATTATCGAATTCGAATGCGGACTCTAATATTCATATATCTAGTTTTTCGAATTCGAACTCGAATACTTGGTATTTGATAAATATTCACGAATACTTATCGAATATCAAAATATATTTATTTCGCTAAAGAGTTTAATTTTCAAATAGTGTTAAAATTCATAAATAAAAATTATTTCTTTATAATATATAATGTATATATATTTAAATCAAAATTTTAATTAGAAAACAGATTTAAGATTATTTAAGTCTTAAAATCTATATATAAAACTTAAGTAGAAATGGTAAGTGGGTTAAAAATATGGCATCATATGTGCAATAATACAAATAATAAGCTGTGATCAAATTTTAAACGAATATTTAATATACAAACGAATCGAATATACATCTGGTTAAATTCTATTCGTTAATAAACTCGAATACTAAAAAATATTTGTTTAGTGATAAATGAACTATCGAATCGAATATGATCGAATAGTTATTCGAACAATTATCGAACCATTTATTAATTATTTGGTTTATTTCCACCCCTACATATAGGCGACAATGAGGGAAATCTCTTCCTATGACAATTATATACCCATTAATCTCTCTTATATATATATATAATATTTAAAAAAATTATTACATTTAATAAAGTAAAATATTATATTATTTTATATAGTACATTATATCATATGATGCTATATGATAATATATTATTAAAGTATTATATTAAATATATTGTTCATATATTATATCAATTATTATATAATGTAGCATATATTGATCTTATATTATATTAATTATTATATAGTATAGCATGCTAATATAATATAATATAATGTAATATAATAATTAATAATATTAATTAGTAATTATAGTACAACGTATTATATTTTAATTTAAAGTAAAATAATGTTTATATTATAATAATATACTAAATAATATACTAAACTAATTGGATAAATTAATTTAGAAATAGTTAATAGATAAAATTATATTTTAATAAAATATCAAATCATCAATTATTCTATATGAATTGTCAAATCAAAGATTCAAATTGTCTTATTATCCTACTTAACTCACTTTACCTTACTCAAAATATCTCGAAAGGATAAACTTGAGAGATAAAATTATTCCAGGAACAATTTCCCAGTTAGCCCCGTAGTCCCAACCAATACCCCCACTCTTCGATCTCCATCTCCTCACTCCCCTCCACAGGTAGATGCGCCTTTTTCTCCCCTTTTATTCACAGAAAAAACCCTAGATTCTATCTCAACACCAAGAAACCCTAGCTCCAGTTCACTCCGATGGCGGGATCGGCCAGCACGTGGGCGCATGCGCTGACTCGGATCTCACCGTACACCTTTGCTTCGATCGGGATCGCCATCTCAATCGGCGTTTCGGTTCTCGGTGCAGCTTGGTACTAATTCAATCTCAGTTCTCCAGATTATTTTGATCGGTTTTTGTTCTATTTCTCATTTTGGGTTGTTTTGTGGTGATTTTAGGGGGATTTACATAACTGGTAGTAGCTTGATTGGCGCAGCGATCAAAGCGCCGAGGATAACGTCGAAAAATCTGATTAGGTACGAATTTTCGCTCCAAATGTGAAGTAGTTCGTTGTTGTTGACGAACAGCACTTGTTTTGACCAATTGATGCTGGAAAAGTTGGGATTTTCTGAAGAATTTTAGTATACTGTTTTAGGAGATATTGTCAAGACTAGGTAATCTACGTGCGTAGAGTAATCTAGTACAAAATTATGCACCGTGGCATTTGTTAATACTGTGACATACTTTCTAATAAAAACAATTTAGGGGGTTATCAAATTTGGATCATTTATGTAGGGATTGCCATATACCTCTAGTTCAAAAGCTGAATAATGACAGCTTGTTAGAAAGTTATGTGCAGTGTGTATAAGGTATCTGCTATGTAGACCCTCGTGCATACCGCCGTGGGGTAGTGAAGAGGAAACTAGAGTAAAATGTTGCGATAACTTGACTTCAAGGAGAAGAAGTTATTATTTTTATGCCAACTAGCACCTTTAGGGTGTGTTTGGCAACTCTACAAAACTTGTTTTAAACTTTTAGTGGGTACAATGTTGGTCCAAAATCTTATTTCTAGTTATGCAAAAACTTGGCCCATGTTGAACTACTTTTTCTAATACAAATTCTAGCCCTTAAACTAGTTTGTTATGGACCAACCCCTATATGGACCAACTTTAGCCCGGTTAAGAAAACTAGCTTTATTTTGGAGTTGCTAAACACGTCCTTAGTTTTGGTTATATGATAGATATGGGTATTTGAGTGCAATTCACCTTAGAACACTCTGCATTTGAGCGGGGTGTTTGTACCCATTAATGAGTGGGGTGTGCGGAAATTATCATTTCAGCAAAATCATCAATGCTTCACAATGTCCTGATCACATGTTGGTCATCATAAGGTGATTCTAATTCTGGGTACTTGGCCTTACTAATGGACCTACAAACTTCCCAAATTCGGGATCATAAACTATTATGATTATTTAATATCTGTCCAGAGGTTAATTGAGTAATTCTTTTAGTGTTCTAGTGTAAGCTTGAGCACATTATTCCTAGTCTTCTTTCTCCAAAGTTTATGACATGTTTAATAACTAAATATCTAATGCTTGATCCACACCAACCATCATTATTGGCCAAAACTTTTATCATTTGAGGTTTTACACATGCCAACAAACAAGCATATATAATTATACATACATTTTTTACATGCATGCAGTGCTTTAAAAGAAAAAGGCGAGGTCAAGGCGATGAAGTCCTATGTTGCATAAAGCAAGAGGCGCCAAAAAAGGATTTCACCTGAGTGATAAATATTCAAAAATTTATTAACATTATAAATAATAGGCAAATATCAATAAATAGCAACAAAAAAAATAATCATAGAATTTTAAAGCTCAAATCTAATAAGTCATAAATCAACTAAATGAAGTGGTCACAAATATTGAATAATAATATTTAACTAGTAACTGCTAACATAGACAAGTAACAATCTTTGAACTTTAAGGTTTAAATTGTGGCATATACTCAAAATGATAGAGCTAATAAAGTATATTACAACAAAAAATAGTGAAAAATTGACCAAGAAAAAAGAAACACAAAACTTCAATTACGAAAATAAACTTTGCTTTATTGGACACCTTCACACCTTCAAAATTTTGAAATAGAGAAACACTTCATGCCTTTCATCACATGCCTTATGTGAGTGACTGAGGCACCAAGGTATGATTATGAGGATCCAAAGCGAGCTCTTGAGGTGCCAAAAGACGTTCGCCTTAAAAGCTTCATTGCCTGGCAATACGCAAGGTATTAAGTTACAAGATCGCCTCGCTTGAGCGCTAAGGCACATTGCCTTTAAAACACTGCACGCAAGTTTTGGAAATGTATTTGAGATAGGTTTACAATGATTAATTAGACTCGTCAGAAGCATTATGGATACTAAATACTCATCAATGAGTGGAGAATTAACAATTTAATAATGATATACAAGAATAGAGGAGATATACTAAGTTGTTTCAAACTATTGTGATGTCAAGTTTATGGGTACACAATGGAGCTTTGGGAGGGGTAATTGAGAAAAGACTAAGAAAGGAGACTAGGGTATATGAGAACCAAATTACTATAATGCCAAGAAGTTCAAGTATAAAACCAATTTTTATATATTAAGATGATTGATGAGAAGATACAGGATAAGCAAAACCAATGCGAAGAGATCTATATATGCTATTCATTGATATATAAAAAGCTATCACAGATTGCCGAGGCACGTGCTATAGTGAATTTTAGAAAAGAACAAATATCAAGTGGTTATATTGATATCATTTATGTCTGTATTATAGAGCAACAACTACCGTGAGAACAATTAAGTGAGAGACAACTATTTTCTATTGCCATCGACTTACGTCAATATCATCTTTAGGCCATTATCTTTTTTGTATTAGTTATGGATGAACATATTAGACATGTAATATTCAAGACTAAGTCCTATGACGTATGTTATTTGACGTATGTTAGTTGTTGATGACATAGTATGCGTTGATAGAAATGAGAATAAGGAAGAGATTACTTCTAAAATAGAAACATCAAGAGAACCTCTTAGTATAAAACTACATAACAAAAAACTGATCTACGGAACAAAATTTTAGTATAATCTATAAAAAAGAATGAGTGTATGATACACTTTGATGGTCAAGAAATATCAATGAGTAATCAAATTTTCTTTTTAGGATTAATTTTTCGTCAAGATGGTGATATTGAGGATGATGTGGTTCATTGAATGAAATTAGAATGACTATGAGGGAGTGGTTTCAGCATCCTATGTAATCATAAAAATACCTTCAAATTGAGGGGATAATTCAATAGGTTAACTAGAAGACCTTCAATGTTTTATAGATAAGATTATTGGGCAATTAAGAAACACGTGCAAGAAATGAGTAGCTAAATTGAGGAAGGTATAGGGACGAGCAGACATACACTAAGAGATAAGATAATGAACATAGGTAAGAAAATTAGAGTCGCTCCTGTTTATGATAAAATGAGAAAGAATCGTTTCGCTCCTGTTTATGATAAAATGAGAAAGAATCGTTTGATAGTTTGGATGTGGTACCGAGGTCATTAAACACACGAATTAGGAGAACTAACAAGATTATATAAAGAAAATAGGGTGGGAGGTAAGCCTTAGAGAATTAGGTTGGAAAAATTAAGAAAGATGTGATAATGATTAACTTAGTAGAGGGGATAATTCTATCAATGGAACTGAATGGAATAGTATGATTCATGTATCCAACCTCAAACTTTGGGATAAAGGTTTTGTTATTGTTGTTAGTATTTGGAGTTAAGCTTTGCATTATTTTTTCCTTAATGTGACAAACATCTTAACCAAGTCATCATTGCTGGACGTTTATCAGGATTGTTACACGGATGCACCGTTAAAAATAGCGTCAATAGCACCGTTATAGCCTTGCAAATTGCGTTAGCGTCCACTATCTGTAGTGATATCGACGGAAGCAGTGGAAGAGTGGAAGATAGTGTGTTGTGCGCTATTTGCTCGCAATAACAGCGTTTAGGACGTAATAGCGCTTAATAGCACTTTTCAGTATAGATTCTCAGTTTAATATCCAACTCAAACCCGACCCATAATTAACTAAAACCCCTTCAGCTTCGTTTCTCTCTCTCTCTCGTCTCCGATTCAATTTCAAAAGACAAAAAAACTTTAATCCCACAATTCCCACCAACTCCGCCGCCTTTTCTCCTCTCCTCCCGCCAACTTCGTCATTGACTACCTGCTTCCTTCTCCCCCTCTCCGACTACTCTACATCAATATCTACCTCTTCCTTTCCTACTCCAACACCTCAAACCCCAAAACCCCTTTCCGACTGCCCTCCACCTAAACCCCTTCATCTCCCTCTCCGACTACTCCACCTCAACCCTAAAACCCCTTTCTAACTGCCTCTCCTGCTTCTCCATCACCTTCGCCAACTCAAACCTCACTGAGTCCTTCTCCTCCTTAAAATCTCTATTTATGATCTCCGCCAACTCAAACCTCACCGAGTCCTCCTCCTCCTTAAAATCTCTTTTTATGATAGAAATTTTAGATTTATCTTTAATTTTCTTAATTTTTTGATTATATATACAAATTTAAATTGAATCGCTATTTGACTTTGTGTTTTTTCCTGCTATTTTTCCACTATAGCCCCAAATATCTTTAGCGGTACCTCACTGCTAGGCGACGCTATCCGCTATCAATAACTTTGCAAACATACAATGAGAATTTTACTTTAGGTATAGGTTGGGCTTCAATTTTTGTGAATAAGCTGAATTTTGAGCAGGGGCTGCAATTAGCTTAAATCTGTTACTGTCTTACTCAGTGGGTAGAGCTTACCTTCAAAAGGAATCTATTACTGACTTGCTTAGTGGGTAGAGCTTATCTTCAAAAAGATTTTAACCATTGTATGAGAGGCTTTAGCTGATTTACGTCTGATTCATGAGTACGAGCAAAATTGAATTATTGATAGAGCTTGTTATGTTTTGAAAAAGGTGACTTTGAGATTTTGACAACCTCTACTTATAATACGAAAGTATAGAACAAGTAGGAGTTTACTTTTCTAATTCTACCACAACTATAAATTTACTACTATGTCATTGGCTCTTAACACCATAATAAGTCTAATAGAGATTACGGACTCCTGTGTTTCTCGTTAGCTCTTGTCTCTTGCTGACATAGTGACATGCCAAAGAAAATTTTGTATTAAGAAATAGAGGTAGGGGGCTATTGATCAGTATACTTGTGGTTCGTGCTTATTGCTCTGATCAAGTTGAATGACCAAGCTACAAATCTGAAATGATCCACACCCCATGCAACAAGGCATCAAGTTATTCTCAACCATTTGAAAAGAGATGCCCCATTTGAACAACAAACCTATCTCCTTGATCTGATCAAGTTGAATAACAAAGCTATAAATCTGAATGTTCCATCATCCACACTCCATGCAATCAGGCATCAAGTGATTCTCACCAGATTGAAAAGAGTGCCAATAAATATATCTCAACCTGGCAACTCTAGTCTGCCTTGATTACTGCTTGCATTTTATAGATTGATGCTTCTCCTCGCTCCTCAGTCAGACCCAATGTTGTTACTGAAACACTCATTGGGGATGATTATGAAGAGTCGCCGAGAACATCTGGGTATCATTTTAGCAATACTCTATCTGCAACTCTTCTACATCGACTAAAGTTACTTTTCTGATATATGCATTTTGGATATGATACACCACCTGCACTCTTTCAAGAGGCAATCAAATAAGCACCTTGTACAATGAAGTGGCAAGATAAGGCTATCCTGACTTTTGAACATGCTTCAAAATGACTGCAGATCCACAATAAAGAGTGATAGAGTTGGTAGAGGAAAAAGGCAAAATTGCATAGGGCAAATTGTATTATCATACTCCCTTTAAAAGCACGAGTTCGAAAAATCTTTTTTAGACAAATATACCCCTTTATAGTTTGAAAATCTTTTTTAGACAAATATACCCCTTTATAGTTTGAACTACCTTATCTATAATCAAATCCTAATTTTCAATGGTCAATATTAAACTACCTTATCTATAATCAAATCCTAATTTTCAATGGTCAATATTACCCTTCACTATTTTGAATATTTTGTTTATATCTTAATCTATCCTATCATAGTCATATCTTATCCTAATCCTATATGAACCATGTTTAGCTTAACAATTTAAAAAAACTAATATTAATAAAATATATAAAACATAAAAATGATATTAGTTTGTTAAGATAAAGAAATTACAAGTAGATAACATATTATAATACATGAAGTATTAAAAAAACCATAAAAAGTTTTAAAATTGCAGAAAAGACCCTAAAAAGTTCAAAATTATAAAACTCATCCAAATGTCTCAAAACTTAAAATAAAAAACATGAAATTAAAAAAATTAACATCAGTTTGCAAAGAACTTAAAATTTACAGTTAACACCTTAATGTCTCAAAAATTATAGAAACACCCTCAAAAGTTTAAATTACAAACAAGAACATTAAAATTCTAAAATTTTAAAACTTACAAACAACACAGATGAATTCAAGAGATTACCATGATACACCTAAAATTTTTGACATTTAAATTTAAATTTTTTAATTAACACCCTTAATATCTTAAAAATTATAGAAACACCTTCAAAAGTTCAAAAAAAGTTTTAAAAATGCAGAAAAGACCCTGAAAAGTTCAAAATTATAAAACTCATCCAAATGTCTCAAAACTTAAAATAAAAAACATGAAATTAAAAAATTAACATCAGTTTGTAAAGAATTTAAAATTTACAGTTAACACCTCAATGTCTCAAAAATTATAGAAACACCCTCAAAAGTTTAAATTACAGACAAGCACATTAAAATTCTAAAATTTTAAAACTTACAAACAACACAGATGAATTCAAGAGATTACCATGATACACCTAAAATTTTTGACATTTAAATTTAAATTTTTTAATTAACACCCTCAATATCTCAAAAATTATAGAAACACATTCAAAAGTTCAAATTAAAAAAAACCACCCTAAAATTCTAAAATTTGTAAATAAAATAAGATGAATTCAAGATATTACCCTTAGACACCTAAAAAATTAAAATTTGCCAAAATTAACCTCGAAATTTTTAAAAAACTCCTTCAAAATTTAAAAATCGTAAAAAAACTCTAAATTTTTAAAAATTTTAACTAGCACACATCAAATTCGTCGATTGGTAGACCGCTGAAATTTAATATTTTTCAAAATTAATCTATAGTTTTAATAATTACAAAATATATATATATATATATATATATATATTAAAATTTCTAATTTAGGGATTTACTATCCATTTTCAGCATCTAAGAATAGTCTAAGTTGATACTGGTAAACAAAAACAATAAGAATTGATTAAAAACATCCGGTTAATGGATAAAATTTTTAAAAATATTATAGATTAAAAATTATCGGCACTATATAAATTAAAGTAATTTCATATAATTTTAGTAATAAGTTGGGGTAGCCAAAATACATTCGTAACATTAATTGATAGATGTTTAAATCCATAGAAATGATAAAACACTATAATATTATACCTTAGCATTAATTGATTTTAATTTAGAAACTTTAATCTTTGACGTTAATAATATTTATAGGGTAAAAGAATACAAGGAATTACATATGGAGAAACTATTAGAATATTTAGAGATAACTTTAAAAGAATTGAGTTATTTCCATTGCAAATGGGAAAGTGATGGAAATAAATCTAAAATTCAGAAAACGTCAATGAATCACTTGAATTGGCATTAACATAAGACATATCTATTAATGAAGCACTGAATGAGTTACATTAAAAAATAATTTAATAACTTTATCCTAATCAAAGAAAAAATCTCCATGGAAGACATAAGAAAAATTAGTAAGTATTCATAAATTCCATACTGTGTTCTTCAAATTAAATATTAATATTATAATCTAAGAGAAATTGGTAATGAATAATGCAGGTATTTAGTTTAGATCTTTATGGAAAATGACAGGGATAGAGCAAAGGTAATATTATTGAAATAACAGAAATTCTTATTGGATGCACATCAGAAGAATTCATTTTAGAGGAAAATAAAGAGATAGCTTCTAATTTATTTAAGTAATAAATTAGGAACACAAAGAATTTTATATATATGAAATTAATATTTATTCTCATTGAAATAGAAAAAAAATCAAAGTCTATATTTTGAGCAGTTTGTGTTGAACATCATAAGTACATTTGACTTCTTTGTAAAGTTAAATGAGATGATAAAAAATTAACGAGCCTGGGAAAGATAATAGCATAAAAAATACAAAATTAGCCTAATATCATAATTGATGTAGATGATGAAGACAATACTCTAGAATTGTCCGAGAAATGATAAATGATAAACCTGAAGAAGGATTGATCTTAACTCAATAAAAAATAAAATAAAAGAAATAAAAATAATATTTTATGAATATTTTATAGAATAGTTTAATTATTTTGAGTGAAATTAGGAATCTTTAGAAGGGAGTTTCATGAATTTTTTTCAGTATTTTTATATTCTTATGTGGATGTTTTTATCATATAAAAGTATACTAGAGTTAGCATTAATCTTTAATTTATATTTTTTTATGAAGTCTATCAATAATTAGGAATAAACTTCATGTTCTCTTTTGCATCGTTTTAACATACTTTAAATCAATCATTTTGTCATATTGGTTTTAAATATTCACCTTCCTTGTATAACACTATTTTAATATTTTTTACTTTGCAATGCTATACTTTCTCAAATAAAGCTTAGTTTCATATCGGTCAAAAATAATATAAAAATTCAAATTATTTTTAAATTATATTTGTTTTTTGTCAATCATAAAAATAATATGAAAATTCAAATTATTTTTAAATTATATTTGAAAATTCAAATTATTTTCAAATAAAGCTTAGTTTCATATCGGTCAAAAATAAATTATTTTTTGATGTAAGAGTTTAAAGAAAAAAATGAGCATAAACTGTCAAAAAATACTTAATCATGGTATTAAATCACGTGCATTGCACGTGTGCAAAAACTAGTGTGTACAAAAGTGGTAAAATACTCGTAATATATCATTGAAGCATGATTTTGGTTTTAATAGAATCATAGAAATGTAAACGAGTGGTTTATTGTTTGTACAATGCAATGTATCGCTCAGATATTGTTGGGTAACTGTTGACCTCGCTTGTCTAGAGCATTATTACTATTATAATTCCAAATCCTAGAGGAATACTTGTTGCATCAAGAGTAAAATCATACATAAAAGGAACATAGTAATTTTCAGCGTACATAAAAGAACTGAGAGGATGCTTTTATTTATCTACTATGGACTGCTTTAGTAAAGCAATGTTGGTGTTTTTTTAATTAAAGTGCAATTGCAACAGGTATTTAAATGCGGGCAAAAATTAAAATTCCCAATGTGCTCTTCATTATTGGATCTCTAATCATCTATGCATGTTCCAGGATCTGGAAACCAAGCTGTACTGCTTATTTGCATGTTGCTTGTGACATGCATATTGCATGTTACCTTAAGGTTATTATTATTTATTTTTTTCAAAACTTAGAATTTACTTTCTCCTTGCAGTGTTATCTTTTGCGAGGCTGTCGCGATATATGGTGTTATTGTCGCAATCATTCTCCAAACCAAGTTAGAAAGTGTCCCAGCATCTCAGATATATGCTCCAGAGTCTCTGAGGGCAGGATATGCTATCTTTGCTTCAGGCATAATAGTGGGCTTTGCAAATCTTGTTTGCGGGTATGTTTTCAATCTTAAGATGTATTTGATCTTCACTCAGTCTTTGTTAATTACTTGGATCGATATATAGTTAAAAACTTGATTATTGTTATAGGCTTTGTGTGGGAATAATTGGAAGCAGCTGTGCACTTTCTGATGCTCAGAACTCCTCCCTCTTTGTGAAGATTTTGGTGATTGAAATCTTCGGTAGTGCTCTTGGTTTGTTTGGAGTTATTGTAGGTATCATCATGTCAGCTCAAGCAACTTGGCCAGCAAAGGCAGCATGATATGTTGCCCCCAAAACAAATACGAGACTTTACAGATCTATTTCATTGAGCACAGGCATTTACCCTGTTTTAGGGTTTTGGTCAATGTTGCCTATTTCATTTATGTTAAGCACGTAGCATGTAATATGATCTATTTGGTCCTTGAACAGTAGATAAATATTTTTGTTTTGATCAATATTTGAAAGGAGATGCGCTTGTGAATAAAGCATGATATGGCATCAGTTCTGAATAAGAAGAGAGATGTGTTGGTTATGGGGTTTGATTACAGACGTATTCTGCAATCTGCATGTTTATCACTTAACACTGTTGAGCAGTCTGCATATTTATCACTTATTACTCTTGAGCTATTTCTATTAGCATACGTGTATTGCATGTTTATCACTTGCACTGAGTTTGGATAGAGTTTAAATACTGAGTTTGGATAGAGTTTTTATTAGCATACATATATTGCATGTTTATCACTCAATACTCTTGAGCAATCTGCACTCGATACTCTTGAGCAATCTGCATATTCATCGCTTAAAACTCTTGAGCTATTTATTTTTATTAGCATACGTGTATTGCATGTTTATCACTTATACCGAGTATGGATAGAGCTTTTTAGGAAGGGAGGGAGAGGTTTACAATACTAACCCTCCTAAATACTCTTAAGCTATTTTATTCGTGCACATGTCTGAATTGACTGAAGGTTTTTGGAGTTGGATCCTCTCTAATTTAATTAGAGAATTAGAGAGGATTTAATTACCTCAATCCTTGTTGTCTACTCTAATCATAGAAGATAAGGTGATGTTATGTACGATTGCCACTACCACAATAGTACTTTCCTCAATAGCAATTTTCAAGACAACTGTTTTTTCAAGACAACAACTGTGATCCTATGTGGCATCATCTTATTCTTTGAAATTGGGATAGACAATTATTATTTGAATAATTAAAATTCTCTTTAATTACTGTCTAATTGGAGAGAATTTAGATCTTAAGTTTTTTTAACATCAGGTGGTCAGTCTCCAAATGAAACAAATCTCTCTCTCTCTCTCTCTCTCTCTCTCTCTCTCTCAGCTATAACGGTCGTTTCTAATCTATAAATAAATGCGCTGGAGTTATCAAACTAGAAACATTAATGTGACGACAATTATCATATTAAATTACTTGCGTATTTATTATCAGGCTTCAACATTGAAACAGAGCCTAGTGAAATCCAATCTGATAAAATTTCACAGAGCCAATTTTAGTAGTCAAAATTTCACATATGATAAATATCAAAATTATCAAATAAAATGCCGTGCAAACAAACCATTTCTTTGTGAGTCTAGTTTAGCAGCCTAACTAGGAAAAAATAAAAAATAAAATGCCGCATTTATTAAATATTGGGCTAAATGGCACTTAAATACCCTATAGTTTCACACACTTCACACTTATATGCTCTCACTTATTTTTCACAGCATTATATATTCTAAGTTATTTTAAATTGGCACTTTAGTACCATAGTTCTAAGTTATTTTAAGTTGTCACTTTAGTACCATCGATTATGCAGAGGTGAAAATTTTCACCCAAACATTAGCAACGACCAACGTTTTAGTCCCACACCGAGAAAGCTATGATATCTGGCAGTGCTTTAAATTAATAAATTTCGCACTAACAAATCATTGTTCTAATTGGCGCGAACTTGTAACCATTAAATGGAGCTAACACCGGTCTTCATAAAATGGGGCTGGGTGGAAGTGTGCTCTATGTCAGCCCGGCCATTCCGAGTTGGATGGTGATTTGTGTGGGTGGCCAGAATCCCTACATTTCTCAAAACGTTGAGATAGATGCCCACGCTTGATGGATAAGAAACATATACTCTTTTGATTGTTACTTGGTATTTTCTGTAGATATGTTTATAACTTTTTTAATATTTAGATCATCTTCATTATGAAAAATAGTAGATATAATTAATGTTTATATTTAGGATTTTGTTAATAATTGTCTTCGAGCAATGATTAAGGTGGAGAAAAAAGGTGATGAGACTTAGTGGGCCCCTAATGTTTCCTACTTGCTCTCTGTTAGGGGCTGTTTAGTTGTATGTTTTTACCATGTAAAAGGATGGAAAGTGTAAAAAAGTGGGTCCCAATGTCAGCTTTCATCACTTTCAATTGTTTGTCTGTAGTTGTGAAAATAGTGTAAAGTGATTTCATATGCTGATGTGGCTTGTAAAGTGGTTTCATAAAAAAAAGACATGATTTTAGGAGAAAGCTGACATTGAAGTCAGGAAAAAATAATAAATAATAATTCTAACAAATATGATCATTTGAGTAGGGACCACTTTTTACACTTTCCAAACAAACAATTAAAGTTACATTTGCAAACCAAACAAGCAATTTATGATTCCAATGGAATAAAAAACAAACAAAGAAAAGTATAAAAGTGAAATTGATGAGGTGGATAACAACTTTCCAAGTTGCGTCATAAATACACAACTTTACCAACAACAACCAAATAGTACCCATCTCATTTTCTCTCCTTCTTGACCTTTTCTTAAAACAATGGTTAGCAAAATATTTTCCTACCGAGTCGTCAACTTGTTTAACTGGTGATTAGATTTAACATTTTTAAGAAATATTATGATTTACTTTTAACGCAACGCAAAATTAATAAATTTCAGAATCCACCAAGTGTTGTTCTTTGAATCCACACAAAGAACGATCATCGAATCCACAAAGAGAATATAATAAAGAAGAGTTTTATTGATGACAAGTTATGCTTCTAGGGCTTACGATACTCTGCTTAAATAGAAAGCAAACAAATACTTCTGCTATGAGCCAAACTTTACCACAAATTAAAATAATAAAACTCTCCTTAAAAGACTCCTTATGATTGAGGAAATAAATTGGTCAAATTTGGAATCAAACTGGATTTGAGTTGTAATCAAACGAGACTCCTAAAATATTACCCAAAATCATAAAAATCTGACAAAAAGTCTGATATCTTTTAATCCGAAGGGAGTTTCGTGGAACAGACAGTGACAAACCGAAGAACGGTGGGTTTGGTTGACTCCGACGTGAAAATTTACATGGTTTTTATCTATAGGTTTGGGAGATATGACTTATTCATCGTTGTAAGTCATTTTTCTCTGCCAGACCCGCATTTGAGCTTCTGACAATCCAGTTTCTTTACGAATATATACGTAATGTATTCTACGTCAAATTTTGAGTGTTAGTTAAGAATAAGAGCGAGTATTTGAAAGGAATCATGATCTCTAGTTTCGATCACCAACATTAAATGTTTGTTGAAAAACTCAATAATAGATATCTCATTCTTGCTTCCTCTCATGCAACACGTCACCAACTATATCCCGCTTGTTGACTGTATATCGAAAATTTTCCTCGCTCTCTATCAAACACTCTTCATAGAAAAAAAAGAAAAGAAAAAGAAAAGAAACCACAATGAGATGGACCACCACCATCCAAACCATTGATAACAATATTTTGCCCACGATAAACAATTTAGAGAAGGATAAAATTATTCTATTAATTTTTTCTTTCTTCTTTTCTTTACAACTTTCAACTTACAAACCTCACATATTTATACTACTACAATGACTCATAGATTTCTTACCAAAGACTATTGAATTTCCCAACAACATTAATACATCTACAAATTCACGCATCTATATATTCATGTATTTGACTCCTCAAACAACTAAATTATCTTCTCAATTCCCAAGGTAATTCAATCGAGTTTATTTGTAACATTCTCCCTTAAACTTGATCCTTCAATCATGCTAAGCTTGTCTCGTAATAAAGTAAACACATCATGCTTCAATGGGTTAGTAAATATGTCAACCACCTGATCTTGTGATTTTACGAACTCAAGCTCAACTTCCTTGTTCTTTACTTGATCACAGATAAAATGATATCGAGTATCAATATGTTTGCTCGTTTCATGAAACACTAGAATTTTTAAAAGTGCAATAACTGATTTGTTGTCAACAAAAATTTTGGTCGGTTCTTCTTGTCCGAACCGAAGATCTTTGAGGAAGTTTTTCAACCAAGTGCAAGAATAAAATTTTGGTCAATCCATATCTGACTATCGGTTGCTTCTTTGAAGACCAAGTAAAGGCAGTATCGCTGATAAAAAAAGTGTAACCAATTGTACTCTTTTGGTCATCAACATCTCCAGCCCAATCGATATCTGTGTACGTAACAAGTTCAAAGTTGTTAGAACTTGAATAAAATAAACCGAGATCTGTTGTACCTTTGATATTCGGGAGAATCCTCTTTGCTGCCAACAAGTGTGAAGATTTCGGATCTTCCATGTATCTGCTCACGAGCCCAACACCATAGAGAATATCAGGCTTTGTGCAAGTTAGGTAGCAAAGACTACCAACCAAACATTTGAAATAAGTTGCATCAACTTTTCTTCCGCTATCTTTCTTGGACAACTTGACTCCACATTTAATAGGAGTACACACATGATTACTATATTTTATATCAAACTTATTAAGAATTGTCTTTGCATATCCCTCCTGAGAGATAAAAATTCCATCCTGGCTTTTCTTCACCTCGATGCCAAGATAATAAGATATGAGTCCGATGTCTGTCATCTCGAACTCACGAACCATTGAGCTTTTGAACTCATGGAACATGTGTGGATTGTTTCCTGTAAAGATTAAATCATCCACATACAAGCATAGAATAAGAATATCTCCAGCTTCATTTACCTTAGTATATAAGACATGCTCATAAGGACATTTAGAAAAATTATGAGCTTGAAAGTATTCATCAATTTTGTTATTCCAAGCTCTTGGTGCATGTTTCAAACCATAAAGAGCTTTCTTCAACTTCAACACCTTTGATTCTTTTCCTTTCTTGATATAACCAAGAGGTTGTTCTATATAGACCTCCTCTTTAAGAACACCATTCAAAAATACTGACTTCACATTAAGTTCATAGATTGGCCATTTGATCTGAGCTGCTAAGACAATAATCAACCTTATAGTTTAAGACGAGCTATTGGAGAGAATATCTCGTCATAGTCAATTCCAGCTTTCTGCTTTTAGTCTTTGGCAACTAACCTTGCCTTGTGCCCCTCAACTTCGCCTTTTACATTCTTCTTCTTTTTGAACACCCATTTAACTTCAATTGCTTTCTTCCATTCTGGAAGTGTTACAAGCTCTCATGTATCATTCTTCTTGATAGCCTTGATCATTTCATCCATGGCTGAACTGCACTTTGGATATTGAACCGCCTCTTCAAAGTCTAAAGGCTCACAACCAGCAAATAAGC